TAGGAAGGCGGACTTCCCGGGGGCCGCGGTCGAGGAACCCGACAGCCCGACTGGACGTGCCCCGGCAGGCCGCAGTTGTAGCAGATGACCTCGCCGGTCCCCGGTCGTCCCTCTGCTGATCGTCAGCACCCCGATGGACGCCACCCCGCTAGTGCAGCGAGCATGCAGGAGTAGGATCGGTCTCCGCGCAGGCCTCCGGCTCTGTGGAGGATGTGGCGCACGCCACCGACACCCTGTCGCGGTGCAGGGTCTGCTGCGCCTGGATGCACCTAGCGACCCAGAGTGAAGACACCGCATCGTCCTCGGCGGGAAGCACAGTATGGAGGTCTTTCGTTACGCCGCAGTTGTAGTAGATGACCTTGCCGGTCCCCGGTCGTCCCTCTGCTGATCGTTAGCACCCCGATGGACGCCACCCCGCTAGTGCAGCGAGCATGCAGGAGCAGGATCGGTCTCCGCGCAGGCCTCCGGCTCTGTGGAGGATGTGGCGCACGCCACCAACACCCTGTCGCGGTGCAGAGTCTGCTGCGCCTGGATGCACCTAGCGACCCAGAGTTAAGACACCACATCGTCCTCGGCGGGAAGCACAGTATGGAGGTCTTTTGTTGCTCCCAGCAATTTCTCGAGGACCAAGGCGTTAAGACCATCGTGGTCCCTTTTAGGGAAGGTGGCCTTCGCTAGCGCCAAAAGCGCGCTACGATAGGCGAGAGCCGACTCATCCTCCCGTTTACGTCTTATGGCAAACTTTTTCTGGGTGTTCAACGGAGGCTCAAAAACAGTCGCCATCTGGTCGAACGCCTGCATGAGGGTGGATCTGTCAGACGGCGGGATGGCAAGGAACACCGCCAAGGCATCTTCGTCGAGGGTGGCGGGCAGCGCTTTCAGCGCCACCGCCTCCGTCCATCCCACCAAGTCAGCATTGGTGAGAAATTGCCACTTAAATGCTACCCAATCGCCGCTATGAGCAACAACTTCTTTAATAAAGGGCAGTCGGCGGCAGAGCGACGGGATGTCCATTGGCGAGAACAGCTCCGCTTCGAGCTTGGCGGGTTCCGCGCTCCATACCGGTGGTAAAATGGTGGCCACGAGAGCGGGCTGTGCCGTCGACATTCCCGCCTTTTGTGAAATTGTGGCTGAGTCGCTCCGTCCATACGACTCTGCCACTCCCTCCTTCGCCGCAGCAAATAGAGGACACAACTCGGCGAGGATCGAGGACGCCATCTAAAGAAGCTCCGCAAGGCAACCGTGCGCATCTCTGATGAGCGCCTCCAACGATGGCGAGGCGCCGCGCGCTCTGACGGTGCTCTGCTCCACTGGCAGTGCCTCCGCTCCGTCGGCGGCGGCTGTGGGCGGAATCAGCTCTTCATCGTCTTCGTCGTCCGATGCCCGTGTATGAACTCTGCGACGTGTAGACATGACTGTCTACCACTAGCTATTTCCTAGAAAGTTGGCCACTTCCGACACCAGTTGTAGTGAGTCCAACTGAGTCGCAGACGTTGTCTTAGGCGGCAACACGTTTTTATTAAACTATTAGCACAACATACTCCAGGCTATTAACACAACATACTCTCGGGTGGTGACCACCCAACTAACCATGCTATGGCAGAACTAGACACGGTTCCACTATAACGGTCCGGACCACAAGCTGGTTCCTGGACCACGTGGCTGGAGGCTTCTTCAAGCTTGACATAGATCTCCTACCTCTTCAACAGTAAGAACCCCGAGCCCCTCCCGGGGCCCCCTTATATCGGGCCGGGCTGGGGCTGGCTCCGCCTCTCACTGCGCCCACCTTCTCAAACTGTCTCGCCCTTGCCCGAAGGCTCTCAAGAGTTCTTACCGGACTATGTGACCACCCATTGCCCCCCTCCACCGGTGGCCCCCCTCCAGTATCATCCGGTCACGTGTTCCCAGGTCAGCCAGAGTATCATGCCCCCAACATAACCCTAGCTGGCTGACACTCTCTCGCTCTCTCAACGGGAGCCTGCACCGCACGCTGTGCGTAGTGCCACCACACTTAACCAGCTCTCACCCAAGCCCCCACTAGGGCTGGTACTACACCTCCTTGTCCGGGGTGTACCCACAACAGTATAAATTCCTCCGTGGCCTCGCAGGACCGGCACCACACAGTGACATTTCCAGTCAATACATATGCACTAAAGTTGGACCTCGAACTGTCTTGTTTGAGGGGACTAACAGCATCCCTCCCACGGTCGTTTCCTGGTCGAGTTGTTTCTGCAGACGCAAGGGGACGAGCATCTGTGCACCGGGGGGGGGGGGGGGGATTTTAACAGTTTGTTTGGCCAGCACTTAGACCGAGGCATTCGCTGGGCGGAACTGAATAGGAGAGGAAAAAAATTATATTCGGCGGCCCGACAGTAACTCAATGCAGCCTTGATCCACAAGGATCTTCAGCTGGATTTTCCCTAGAAAATATGTCTCTAACAGGTAGGGTACAGCCAGGGACTTTGAAACAAGTACTGGTTCTGTTATCCGAATGTCGCCTATACAGTCCATCTCTGATATTTGGCCATTAATCCCGAAGGATTGTCCATTTTCGGGAAAACAGGGAATGTCAATGGGCCAAATGGTGCATGAATTTAGCGGCAAACAATAAAAAATCATGTCTGAAATTATGGTGTCGGATGCTCTGGTATCGATGAGCACTCGCACCTCTACGCCCTGAACGTTTCCGATCATGGCTGACAATCCTGCCGCAGCAGCAACAACACGGTGGCCAAATGCCAACAACTTACCAGGAAGCCACGGCCACCCATCGCCCGCAACAACTCGACCCTCACGCAATGCAACCCGGTGAGAACCGACGACCCACGACTCCGAACACGATGCCTAAGGTGATTGCAAGGGCTGTGCTTGTGGTGCGCCTTGACTCACCTAAGGACCCAGCGGAGTGAAGGATGGTCTAGCATAGGATGGCATCATGAAGGGCCTCCCTCGTCGAGCGGATCCCATCGTGACGTGTCCTGGCAGGCTGCACCTGAAGCAGACGACCGGGTCGTCCCTTTGGCGAGGGAAGGTCTCCTTCAGCCGGACTCGACCTCCTTGTCATCTCGTATTGCACTTCTACCACTTTGCACCTTCCAGTGAAGCACAGGCTTGCAGAGGCTCCGCGTCTTCGGTTACACCTTCGCCCTCGGAAGGTCTGGTGCACGCGGCCATGGTCGCACGTTGCTGGATGTTGAAATGTGCCTGGAGGCACCGTGCGACTTTGAGTGAGGACAAGTCGTCCTCTTCCGTGGCTGTAATGACAACTTTAAATTATTTGGGCCAGCAGCACCATTCTTTCGAGGACCAGGGAATCCCTTCCGACATGGTCTCTCCTGGGGTACGCAGACTTCGCCAGCACCATGAGCGCGCTGCGGAAGGCGAGGGGCATCTCGGCCTCCCCCCCGCCTTCGCGTGGCGAACTACTGGTGCTTGATGGATGGCTGTGCAAAAATCGGTGCCATCTGTGCGAGGGCTTGAGGCAGCATCGACGTCTCTTCGGACGGGATGGCGTTAAAAGCTGCCAAGACGTCGTCATCGAGTGCTGTGGGAAGCGCCCGCAGCGCCTCCATCTCCGTCCACCCCGCAAGATCGCAGGTGGCGGCGAAGCATCTTCGAAACGCCTCCCAGTCACCACCTGCAGCTACAAATTCTCTAACGACGGGAAGCCTCTTCTTCAGAGTGCATTCTTGAAGCTTCAGCGCTTTCGGCAGGAGGTCTGTTTTGGTGGGAATTCCGTCCCGCTCATCCGACAAAATGGCGGCCGCTTGTGCAGGCCGTGCCTCTCTGTACTTCCGCTAGCAGGAAATAGTGGCAGCGAGACGTCTTGCCACTGCTCCGGTGCCCTGACGTCCTCTTCCTGCTTTAAAGCGGCGGCCAGAGCTGCCACGGCTGACAGAAGGTCGTCGATACACGCGTTCCGCAATCGGCGCTCCCTCTCTGGCGGCGACCGCACGGCGAGGTCTGGACTTTTTTCCTGCTCCGCCGGCAGAAGATCTTTCATGCTCTATCTCCGGGGCTGCAGCTCCCGGGGCTGTCTGTAGAATCACCGTTTCGTTCTCCTCCTCATCTGAAGACGACTTGTTGAGTTGTTTCCGCCTAGTTAACATTATTTTATGCTGGGCTATCACCTAATGATTAAGTTTCACTTCTGACACCAGTTGTAGTGTTCTTCACGGAGGCACACACTTGACTTGGAGGCAACACATTTATTACACAGCCCCAACAGGGTAACTACATAACCGAGTCAGTCAGTAACATCCTGACTGAGCCACGATGCCAAGCAGAGACCATAGATCGGAGAGACGTAGAACAGCCCAGATAGGGGCTCGGGACTCGGCCTTTTTGGGCCACGGTGTGGCCAAGGGCGGAGCCCGGCCTCCCCTCCTTTTTGGCCCCCTTGCCATCTCGTCTGGTCACGTGCCCTCTCGGGGTCACCCAGACTGTCATGTCATCACTCGACCTGTCTCTCACTGTCACCAGGACTATGGCCCCTAGGGTCCGCTTCCATGGCGTACCCACTCTGGTGTCCGAGAGAGGCTCTAGATATACAGCTGCACTCCTGTGATGTTAGCTGGCGCTTAACGCCATAGTGACTCAATTTACGTCACTACATATGTTTCCACATTTATCTAAACAAGTAGATGAATATTCTTGGTTCTTTCGGTAAAGTCACGTAGAAGGGAAACAATAAAATAAGTTTATTGCTGTGGTTTTCACACCTGATGATGATTGCTTGTGTTGCAGTCGAAACGTCGTGAGAATTTTATTGTTTTACATTTTTATTATTTTATTGTTTCCCTTCTATGTGACTTTACCGAAAGAACCAAGAATATGAATCCCTGCAGTCACGAAAGCTTTAAATCAAAAGTAGACGAATATCAAATAAAATATTTCCTCTATGCTGTTTAATGGAAAATATTTAATGATTCCTGCCGTGACGAAAATTGTCAAGGTCATGTGCAGATATCGACCCAATACACCTGTGATATGAAATCTGATTGAGGAAATAAAATGTCGACAATATTTGAGAACACGGTAATTATTAACGTACCATTTTCCGTATAAAAGAGACAAGCAGTGTCTATGCAATTAGCAATGGCTCTCTTCTGGCTCGTTTCGTGTTTCGCCTTTATCGGTGCCACCTTTGGTGAGTGACAATGGTGATGTATATGCTGTTCTATCATGGCTTTATTCTTCATGCTAAAAAAGCTGGCAGCTCATCACATTGTAGACCTACTCTGCAACATGTTCTTTGAACAGAACTTGCAGCTTTTTACCTGTAGCACACCACAGGAAGGGGAGTAGAGTCAAGCGTGCAAAGTATGAAAAAAAAACATGTGGAAAACAGAATGCAGATAAGAATAAAACAAAATTAGAGGAAAAAGATGAAAAGGGATAGAAAAAATATGCCAAATTGTCAGGAAAGCTGATAAGAAGAAAGAAGTTACATTAGGGCCTCATTGCTGCGAAAAGGAGTAGCATCTGTTTTCACAGGGGGTGGTGGGGGAGAGGCAATCTAGAGTGAGGGAAACCACATAGAAGTCACGTGATTTGCAGGAAGTTTGAGCTGATACGGATATCTATATATAGAGATAAGTCTCTGAATCATAGAATTATTAAATAATTGTATATGTACAGGGTGTGGTGTCCCGGCCATCAAGCCAGTCATCACCGGCTACTCCCGCATCGTCAACGGCGAGGAAGCGATGCCGGGCTCCTGGCCCTGGCAGGTGTCCCTGCAGGTGAGTGCTCTATATTCACCGGCAACATGGTGTCAATACCTGCCTTTAATAATGACACCGTGTGAATGCCAGTCAACTTTTGCAGATGTAAACTAATGGCGATGGCCAGAGTGCATGTGGGAGGCAGTGTGGGGAGTTATGGCATAAGCATAAACTTGGATTACCAACATATGAGTTCAGTAATATGAACATAATACAAAACCAATTGATATTTGTTTTACGGTTTGGCCACGTGGCAGTTTTATGCCACAATTTTTTCTTAAACCCTGCACTACCCGACAAGGTTGCCAGAAATACAAATAAATTAATTATACATAGCTATGTATGGAACAAATTTTTACCAATACAGCTCCTCAGCTGTGGCTTAATACTTTTCATGGCTTAACATAAAAAGCAAGTGAAGTGAACAAAGGGCAAAGTACATTTGGTTATATAACTCGGGAAACGATAGAAGGCAAGCTAAAATCGAAATGATGAAAAACAATATACGAGCTCTTGAGAAATAATCATGTTCATATTTTATTATTTTAAATCGAGTCACTGAGCACCAATGTGACAGCTATGCGATTTTTTACCACGCAGAGCAAAACTGGTTTCCACTTCTGCGGCGGCTCCCTCATTGACCCTTACTGGGTTGTGACAGCTGCTCATTGTGGAATCAGGTAATTGAATTCAAATATTTGTTCATGTAACTTTTTCTTGAGTTTTCTTTATGAGGGCAGGTTCACGATTTTAGTTCTCTCCATCCTATAAAATATTGCAATGTCACATCACCCTTGGAAATAACACTTTGTTTACCTTTTCAGATTTTCTTCTTCAGCCTACTAGAGCGTATTTCATATATGCCCAATCTATTGCTTTTGCGTTAACAGGCACAATAAAATAATACTGCATATGTATTCCAATTCAACTCCGCGCACACATTTCAAAACTAATTCATACATCTTTCCTCTTTCATTTCAGTATCCATATCTTAGCAGAACAACCACCATATTTTATACGTGGATCTTTAAAAGTCACGCGATTCGTTTCATGTTCATGCTACCAGCAGTATTGTTTCTTCTTTGAATGCTGCTTTTGCCACGGCAATTCTAGCTTTGATACCCTTTAGGAACACATCTCCATATACTGTATATTTATTTACATTTTAATTTAAAATGTGATCCAACCATTAATATTCCTACAAAGTCTTCATATGTTCTAAACATAATCCATGTAAATTAATCAATTCCAGTATCATGAAAATAAGTGGTTAATGACTTTTACAATGACTACGCACATGTACAGAATTTAATAAAACAAGGTTAAAACATGTAATTTGTTGTAAGCAGAGGTACATATGTTCGTGATTATGTTTTACCTTTTTGAAATTACCATCACAACTTATACCATGCAATGTAACATGGTGGTAGTGGCTGTGCATACCTGCAATTCAGCAGTGTGGAGACGAAAGATAGTGGATTGTTGTGAAACTCCCTTCCCATGGGCGTCGATGAGCCATACCCTGGTTCGCCAGAAGGCTGGTACAGCAAATGTGTATGGGAGAGTGTTTCCCCCTCACACACGTGAGTTTTCTCCGGGCGCTATAGTTTCCTCCCACATGTATAAACCGTCATTAATTGGCAGAAAGAGAAAACCACAGCTTAGGCATTTGTTGGCACCGGCTGACCGTTTGGCTGTCTTGCTGGTTGTCCATAGTTCCTCACAACTCTGAGTAATAGCAGATACTGTGCACGTTCGAGTTTATATTTTATTTCATGTTAATACAACTGTGATATACCTTAAAATGTTGTGAAAACGTGCACTAAACATTGTAACGTTTAGTCAAACGACCCACACAATGGGGCTTGAAGAGGCCTTTATCCAGCAGCAGATTGACAAAGAACTTACATAATTTATTAAATTCAGTATGTGAATGCCTGACATGGCCAAGGGCTCACCTCTAGCTCATTTGGGATAATATGGAAGTGATGGATTGTGATTGCTCAACAGCCCCTCGGAGCACCGTGTCATCTTGGGTGAGCATGACCGAAGCTCCAGCTCCGAGAAGGTCCAGACAATGACCATCGCCAAGGTAATCTGAGGCCAGTTGATGCAGGCAATTTGCATCTACCAGTCTACCTCGGGGTCTGTTGGTGGTGATGTTCTGCTCTTTTTTCGACAGTATTGCCCTAAAGAAATAAAATAATGCGTGTATGTATAATTACATATAGGTAAAAAGTGCTCCGTATATTCAGAAAATGATCCTAAAAGAATGTCATCGATATGTCATCGCCAATAGACGACATGATCTGATCCCATTTGTGAAGGATAAGATCCCTGACATCCAATACCACGGCATCTACAAACTAAGCTGTGTCTGTGGCAGTAGTTACATTTAACTAAGCGACATGTCTCGGACTGTGTTCGTGAGCATAAGGCAGATTTGAAACATGGGAGGACCAACACTTCAGCCATAGCTGATCATTGTTTTAATGTGGTTGGCTCATGCGAATTTGATTTCTCTAAGACGAAGGTACTTTGCAAGCCCACTGGCTATCAACAAAGATTCGTTCATGAAGCCACCCATATATACAGACACAGACACAATTTCAACCGAGAGGATGGGTACAAACTCACCAATCATTGGACGGACGTCATCAACCAGTTTGAGTGATAACTGGCTGTGATGTTTCCATCGTGTCACCTTTCGGTGTTAGTTTAATTTTACCAAAGATGCGACAAGCAATTCCAGTTTCTGCGGTGTCGCCCCTGCATTGGGCGTACCACAAGTTGTTAATTTATCCACGTCTCATGCGGCTTCCCCTCCCCTAAATACGATGTTAGATTAACATAACCATCTCTGCTTGCGCAGGCCCCAGGGCACTTTTGCCCCGCCTACTTCATTCTGATACCAGGACGCCTGGGCTACGCCCATTTTAAACCTTTAAAACAGCTTGCCTTTCGTGGTTTCCCTCCCTTTTCCCACCTGATAACAGTCTCTTGTGTTGCGATCGAAACGTCATAGTTTTTTAACCTATCTACGTGATATTACTGAAAGACAGAAAGAATAACAGACTACATAGTTATACTGGGCTCGCATTCATATTTTCATGTTTATTCAAGAAATCTCTTCAGATTTCCATTCAGTTAAACTCGGCAACTTCTGCTTCATGGCGATGGTGACTGAAATGAAGCTCGAGTGACATGTTTTTATTGACAGTATTACATTTTACATTTGCAGTTGTTAAATTACAACGTATTCATTACATCTAAGTGGATTATGTTACTTACATTTAAATGTAACTTAAATTAAGCCATTATCAACTTCTTTGGTTCTTTCGGTAAAGTCACATAGAATGAGAATAAAATAATAAATTGATAAAATAAAATAACACAATAATATTCTCACGACGTTTCGGCCACAACACAAGCGGCCTTCATCAGGTGAAGGGACGAGACTGTCTGGTAGGACAGCGCTGGAGTGAAAGAGCCACGTTCAGATCACGGCCTTTAAGCTGTGTGAGAGGAACAAAGCGCCCTCAACTTTAGCACCACGGATAGCTACGGGCCCCGTTCAGACGGACGAGTTCGTCTATGGTCGGAACAGAGGAGGGGGAGAGAGACAGCTGCGAGGCGCTATTATACTCCATGTTGTAAAACCATACCATTAACCGTGGTGTGAGAGGTATTAAGAGTCAATGCTGGCGAAAGAGCTGCGGTCTGAAGGTCATCGTAAAAATACAATTAATTAAGAACAGAAATCATTTAAAACATCTTTCCAGTGGTTATTAAGCCAGAATCCATCTTCTCGGTTGAAATTGTCTCTGTGCTTGTATATGTGACTCTTAATACCTCTCACACCACGGTTAATGGTATGGTTTTACAACATGGAGTATAATAGCGCCTCGCAGCTGTCTCTCTCCCCCTCCTCTGTTCCGACCATGGACGAACTCGTCCGTCTGAACGGGGCCCGTAGCTATCCGTGGTGCTAAAGTTGAGGGCGCTTTGTTCCTCTCACACAGCTTAAAGGCCGTGATCTGAACGTGGCTCTTTCACTCCAGCGCTGTCCTACCAGACAGTCTCGTCCCTTCACCTGATGAAGGCCGCTTGTGTTGTGGCCGAAACGTCGTGAGAATATTATTGTGTTATTTTATTTTATCAATTTATTATTTTATTCTCATTCTACGTGACTTTACCGAAAGAACCAAAGAATATGAATAATTGCAGTCACGAAAGCTTTAAATCGAAACATTATCAACTTATTTGCCAGAATTCAGGCATGATCCATAATCCATACTCTTTGTTTTCTTTTGTAAAGTCACGTAGGTATAAAATAAAATAAATCACGACGTTTCGGTTACATTTTACATTTGCAGTTGTTAAATTACAACGTATTCATTACATCTAAGTGGATTATGTTACTTACATTTAAATGTAACTTAAATTAAGCCATTATCAACTTATTTGCCAGAATTCAGGCATGATCCATAATCCATACTCTTTGTTTTCTTTTGTAAAGTCACGTAGGTATAAAATAAAATAAATCACGACGTTTCGGTTGCAACACAAGCAATCATCATCAGTTGGGAAAACCACAGAATAATTTATTTGCTGAAGTTCGGAGAGAGAGCTGACGTTATAAGAGGTTATATAGGTCAGAAAGGGCACTGCAGCTCTCTCTCTCACTTCAGCAAAGAAAAATGATTGGTGTGGTTTTCCCACCTGATGATGATTGCTTGTGTTGCAATCGATTTATTTTATTTTATACCTACGTGACTTTACCGAAAGAACCAAAGAGTATGGGTTCCTGCAGTCACGAAAGCTTCAAATCAAGAATGACCCATAATGATAGAGATTCTTCCACGAAGTTGTCTGGCTTTACAAGGTTTTACTCTCCGAATTTGACATAAGTGTATGGCATTCCTCTATTCCTTTCAATATCTGCACAGGCCATCAACCACCCCCAGTGGGACAACATGAGCATCAACAATGACGTTGCGCTCATCAAGCTGTCCCAGCCTGCTCAGATGACCGATGGCGTCTCAGCCGTCTGTCTCTCCTCCACCTCTGACAACTTCCCCCCTGGCCTGAACTGTGTCACGTCTGGTTGGGGCATTACCAACAATTTTGGTAACTATCATTTGACACTAGGTAATGCTTCTTCAGAAGTGTTCAAAATAGCTACAGTATAGGATTCACGCTCAAACGTGGTGACGTGTTTGACGTTTCAGACTCCGACACACCCCCAAGGCTGCAACAGACCGCTCTGGCAATTGTGGCAACGCCCACCTGCCAGCAGCTGTTGGCCAACATGAACAAAATCACCGACGTCATGATCTGTGCTGGTGGTGCTGGAGCTACTTCGTGCAGGGTGAGCACCTCAGTCAGTCGTTCAGTTCATTTAGTTAAGAAGCTCTTTTTCAGTGGCGACCAAGGTAAAATGACTGAGCATGTTATGAGGGAAGGGCGTGTTTATAGGAGTTCTATAGTAAGCAAGGATATTTTATAAACAAGACTAATAAATAATACCGTTATTAACAACCAGAATTATGTACTATGGACATCTCTTAAGCTATCCAAAATAATTGTATGCATGACGTGAGAAAGAGGAACTGACGTAATATGGCATTTAAAATTAAATTTACAATAGCAAGCAAAAAAGTATTCTAAAGTATTGGTCGGATTAGATCCAACTAATACTTTACAACTCAAGACTTACGCAATCATTGCAAATTAATTAATCCCTAAGACTGAGCAATGCCAAATTAAGCCACGGGCCTCAAAACCACCAAGATTGTATGGCTACCAAAAATTCATAGAATCGTTATAACATTACGACTCATAGTAAGTACAATAGGCTCTGCCACGTATAAATAAAAAAACCGTAATTAAACAAATACAGCCCTACATCGGAAGGACGTCTTCATAAGAAATTCAGAACATCTTGTGAATGTGATTAAATATATTAAACTTAACCATAATGAGTGGGACTACTAGATTCTGGTAAGTTTTGATGTAATTTTTTTGTTCACTAAGGTTCCAGTTAACGAGTCACTTAAATTACTTGATACACTGGTAAAGAAGACAAGTTTACATGAAGATAATTCCAAAACGACCATTGTCTAAATAACACATTTCTTGTGGAGAGGTGACTTCTTTAAACAATGGAAGAAGCAGCAATGGGCTCTCCTTCCTCTGCTGCTATAGCAAATCTGACATGGAAAATTTTGAAACAATAGCACTTGCCTAAACCATCTTTTTGGTTTAGATATGTCGATGACACTTTGGTTGTCTGGCCAGATGGAAAAGATACACTCAATAAATTTTAAATCATCTCAATGCGCAAAACCCAGCCATTCAGTTAACCATGGAAATGGAGGTGAACAACACATTCCCCTTCCTGGATATTTTGCTTGGACACAGTCAAAATGGCAAAATAACACAGCGTCTACCGAAAGGGAACGCGGATGCCTATCTGAATGCAGATTCGCATCATCACCCAGCAGAGAAATCCTCTCTCTCATCAAGACACTCATACATCGGGCAAAGACAGTGTCAGATGGTGAAAGTTTAAGGAAATAGATTAAATATGTTAAAGGAGCACTAAGACTGAATGGCTACAATAACACTAAAATTAACAGAGCATTTAATGCCAAATTTCAAAACTAGTGTCTTGTATTAAAGATGAATTACTGAAGTTATCAACAGAAGGTGTATATCGGATCAATTGCTTCTGCGGTGTTATATTGGACAGACGGGACGTAACATTAGTGTAAGACTAAAAGAACACCAAAGGAACATTACATTCTCCCAAACACAGCTGTTAGCAGTGGCAGAGCATGCTTGCCAACAAGGACATTCAATTGATTTTCATTACGTTGAAGTGTTATGCAGAACTAATTATTACTGGTCAAGATTAGTTAGAGAATCAATTGAAATTGAGAAGAATTCAAATAATTTCAATCGCTGTAATAGCTATAGACTCAGCACAGTCTGGAAGCGTGTTATTAAGTAATACACAAAAATATTGCAATTCCTTACAGGTGAGTCACATATAAGAATAGGTTTTACCCTTTTAACTGGCACAAAAACTGACACCTTTATTCAAGGCATCATGTTTGCAATAACCACAACACAAGCAGTCAAAATGCAAACAAAAAAGACAACTCTGATAATAATATGCACTGTCCTTGAATTTGATTGGTCCACACCCGAGACAGCTTTTCTTAGAGCCTAGTCTCCATTGGTGTTGGACCAGAAGACGCCAAAAGGCGTACAAAAAAGAGTTGTCTTTTTTGTTTGCATTTTGACTGCTTGTGTTGTGGTTATTGCAAACATGATGCCTTGAATAAAGGTGTCAGTTTTTGTGCCAGTTAAAAGGGTAAAACCTATTCTTATATCTTGTTTCTGGCAAAGGAGGTCTCATAAGGTGAGTCACATGTTTAGTGGCTGATTACTGGTGTACTATATAATTGCATACACCTCAACCCCCACCTCCGCCTCTGATCTCGAATCCTGATGGGGTTCAACAATGATGATGTCATCCTGCACTACTTAAGACCGGAAGCAGGTGGATGGCTTCACTATTCTGGCAAATCGCCCGAAGATGCTGGATGTAATTTCCAGCGAAACGGTGTACTCAAATTGTAAATGTTGTGGGTCCACTCTTCAACACACCGGTGGGCTAAAGTAGTGAACTATTTGTCTTTTGTCAACGTGACACATTTTTCACTGATTGGCCACGTCGGGTGGGGGAGGGTTGTGACACATTTATAAATAACGCGATCTAACCCAAAAACCTTTATTATGAATAATACTAGTCGCGAAAGCCTGCGTATTAAGCTTATGCCCATCGTCACTATGTCTTGAAAAATTTCGCATTTTATTCCAAAACAGTGTTTAGCCTATAAAAGCAGACGTACAAAGCAGTATGTCTTTAAGACATCTTGGTCTCTGTCATTTGTTTTTTGATGGAACCTATTGCTTTATAGAAATAGAAATGGACAGATGTGTCCAAATGAAAAGGAATTCATGCGTGTGTGTGTGTCTCGCCTACAGCGTGACTCTGGCGGCCCCCTGGTGTGCGAGAAGGACGGCGCGTGGAACCTCGTGGGGATCGTGTCGTGGGGCAATAGCTCGTGCTCCACCAGAATCCCTGCCGTGTACACGCGCGTCACCGCCATACGCAGCTGGATCGACCAGACTATTGCGGCCAACTAGGAATTATATGAAGCAGTGCTCTTCTTTGAAGCGATACATCTTCAATTTAAAACATCTCTATAATTACCATGACTTCACATGATACCAATAGATACATAGTCAGTGCACCTAGAAACACATGTACAAATGTTGACTATGTGTTCATTGTGTTGATTGACAAATACATTGAGAAATAATCTTGATTCTCCTGCCTCAGCAGTCCGTCTGCTGTATTGTTTCACCTGAAGACGATGGCTTGTGTTGCTATCGAAACGTCGTGATCTATTAGCTATTTGTCTATCTATGTGACTTTACCGAAAGAACCAAAGAGTATTAATTCCTGCAGTCACGAAAGCTACAAATCAAGATTGAACCACCTCTATGGGGAGGATTTCCACACAACTCAGACATGACTTAAACCGAGAAGATGAATGCAAAATTTAGCAATCTTTGGAAAGTCGTTGATCAACCAGGTACAGTGCTAATTGTTGTGTTGGTCGACTCTCTGAGTTGCATTACATTTATAAGTTTTCTAAGTTTGATATCTTTTTTCTCTCTATCACCTTGTTCTCTCTGTAAATTTCATTAGCCGACGTTATGTTTGCTAGCCTTACATTTACTTGCCCTCTGTAAATTTAATTAGACAACGTTTACTAGCCTTACGTTTGCTAGCCTTACATTTACTTGCAAATTGCATCCCTAGCCCAGCCCATTTACCCTTGGGTTATACCCACCATAAACGTATATAACCTTTGGTTGCAGTAGCTCTCTACATTTCCTCCTGCCTCAGAAGTCTGGCTGCTGTATTGTTTCACCTGAAGATGATGGCTTGTGTTGCTATCGAAACGTTGTGATCTATTAGCTATTTTTCCATCTACGTGATGTTACCGAAAGAACCAAAGAGTACTGTATCTGCCTTTAGTTTGTAATAATTTTGTGGTCCTGCACAGAGATGTTGATAAATTCCTTGCATTTGTTGCAAGAGTTCACTCAAACGTCAACTTACTTCAAATGAACACGCGTGTTTACACATTCACATGTGCTTGACATCTACACACTGGAGTGGCCTTTCCAATTCCTCCCACCTTATTCCAAGTCATCAATGCTGCGACATACTAAGCTCGTGCATTGACATGCTAATCTCTCACAATACAATAGCTACTTCCACAGCCTCAGGGAGACCATCTCTAGCCCCGCCCTCTAACTCTGAGGCTGCACCCATCTCAGGCCTATATAAGACCTTGTTTCCATAGCTTTCTCTCTCTCATCTGAATAACGTTGCTTGTGTTGTGATCGAAACGTCGTGATCTATTAATTTTCTATCTACGTGACTTTACCGAAAGAACCAAAGAGTAATGCGATAGAGTTGTGAGCGATATTTTAATACTCTTTGGTTCTTTCTGTAAAGTCACGTAGGCATAAAATAAAATAAATCATGACGTTTCAGGCGCAACACAAGCGTCCGTCATCAGGTGAGAAAGCATGATCTGCTGCTGAGGCAGACTTTTAAAAGGTTTGAAATGGGTGTAGCCCAAGGGTCATAAAAAAGTTGGCGGGGCTAGTGATGTTAATGTGAGAAATTAGCATGTAAATGTAAGATCGAAGAGTGGCCTCCACGAGGCAAGAGCATCAACGCAAGAGAACCACCACAACAGTGGCCATACCAGTGAGACACACAGCCCATAACACAGTAAGAACCAACGATACATCGAGGCTAAGGGAGCAGAAGAGGTCATGTTAGTGAGACCCCAGCCCGTTAATGCAAAGGCATCCCACAGGGCAATACAACTCAGGGAGTCGGAGATAACAGCCAAATGGCAGGAAGGATGGAAGCATCACAGCGAGTTATAACTTTACCTGGTTAATAACATCCTACGATTGTGAGGACGTTAGGGCATGTGAGCATTAGAGTGTAATCCAAAGAGCATGTGAGCATGAGAGTGCAATCCAAAGTACATATGAGCATTTATAAGGATGTTAACAGTACATTACTGGCTTGTTTTGTGTGATCATATTTGAGGCAGACTGCTTGATACAGGAAGTGTATCCAACGGCTTCCATTCTTACAGGCAGATTGTTGAATACAGAAAGTGTTTGAGCAGGTTCAGTGTTTCAGGAAGAGTTGTATTTAGGCCCGCTCCCGGCCATCATGGTGTCTGGGTGGTGGTCGTGCCCTGCAACCGCCGTGCAATTTCAGCGAGGGAGCATTCGCTGTTGGTGAAACTCCCAGGCCTCCACATTTCTGAAACCTGTGACTTGTGGATGTTCAACGTCTATAGTACGACCGAGCACTGAGGCTAGGAGTCTTGAGACAGCACACTGCTCCTGAGCCTAGCTCAAGAGTCACGAGGAAGTAAGTTCATCTGGCACTTGGCCAGAAGATTTAGCGGATTGACTGCTTCGTGATTGTTTTGGAATTGTTCCCGCATCCACACGGAACGCGAAAGCCTCAACACACTAACGGCAGACCGAACGACTGTGTCGCCTGAATCCATGGCATCTGCGGCCGCAGCCACAGAGTGGGACATGTCGGGAGGAGTGCAGTGGTTTATGCCGGATCGGCAAGCACATGGGGACATACTGTAAGTGGCAATCGCGACAGCGCGTCAGCATTTGCGTGACATCAAACACATACTCCTACAAACACTCCAACCAACGTGACAACTAACCACCCGGCTGCTCCATCTTCAACGAGTATTGGAGGGCCGCGTGATCAGTACGTATGACAAATTGCCTGCCATACAAATAGGGCCGGAAAAGTTGTACAAAATGAACAATCGCCAGCAACTCCCGACGAGTAACACAATATCGGGTCTCTGTCGGCGAAAGTACCCGACTACTGTATGCCACAACGCGCTCAACACCCCCCTTCACCTGTGACAGGACAGCTCCAATCCCCGTGTCGCTGGCGCCAGTGTCAAGGATGCAGGGGGATGTATAATCTGGATAGTCAAGAGTAGGTGCGTCCGACAAGCATTCACGGAGGGTATTAAAAGCAGCCTCCTCCTCCGGACCCCAATGGAATCGCTGATTTTTACCCGTAAGCATATGTAATAGCTTAGCGATAGACGCGAACCCCGGGATGAATCGACGATAATAGGAGGCGAAACTGACAAAACTCCGAACATCTCCTACACTCACGGGAACTGGCCAATCACATAAGCAAGCTGTTTTAGCGGGATAAGTTGAGATGCCATTGGCTCTCTTAATGTGACCCAAATACTGCACCGAAGTTTGCAAAAGATGGCATTTTTTCAGTTAAAATTTGAGATTTGCTGAATGCATTCGCTCAAAAACAGTGCGCAGCCGGAGGAGGTGATCTTCAAATGACCTGCTGAACACAATGACATCATCCAAATAGATAAGACAAGTATCCCGTTGGAGACCGGCCAAAATAAGTTCCATGAGTCTCTGGAACGTAGTAGGAGCAGCATTTCATCCCATAGGCAAACAATTGAATTGAAAAAGGCTTTGGGAAGTACGGAATGCAGTTGCCAGAACCCAGAAGACAAATCAAGCGTGGAAAAGAAACGAGCGCCCGACAAGGCATCCAAAGAATCATACATCTGGGGCAGAAGATACGCATCCGCAATGGAAACCTTGTTAAGGCGCCGAAAATCCACGCAAAATCGCAAATTACCATCCTTTTTCTTAACCAGAACTACTGGCGCGCCCAACGGACTGGTGGACGGCGAAATAATGTCTGCAGCCAACATGTCATCCACGGCACGGCGCACACTTACCCTCCATGATGGCCCGATACGATGTGGATTCAGCTGAATGGGGGCCACATCGCATGTCTCTATATGATGAGACAGCAAGGACGTACAACCCAAGTCGTAATCGTCCTTGCTGAAAACGTCCGAAAATTCAGATAACAAAAGGTGAAATTCCTCCCGCTGAGTCGCTGACAACGAGGCGTTTTCGGCACACAGATCGGGGATCAACCAATCGTCCATCGAGCCTCTTTGACCGACAGTGCAGGCAATATGTGGTGATGTGCGCTGTATGCGATCGGTAAATGTGGTGGTAGCGTTAGCAAGGACAGTGCCCGCAGGCACAACAACGTCTCCTGGTCCCCCGTTCAAGACTTGCAAGAATGGGGCCAGACCTGCTCTTAGGATGGTCTGAGCACACACCAATGTCAGCCCCCACGTAGCAGCGTTCGAGGGCGTCAACAAAACCCCGTTTTCTGCCACAACGCAATCAATATGCTTATGATAACGGAGCGGAATCAACATTTATGAACCCGATGGGACAGTGACGGTGGTTTCATCCAACCCCTGAACCGTATTTGCGGACGCCGATTGAGGCAACGGCGACAACAAAAAGCGCAATGTACGACCTGACGGCAGCTCCAAACAACCCTGGTTGACAAGGATTTTAACATGCATCCGAGACAAAAAAATCAGTGCCCAACAGGCACGGCATGGCCAACGTGCACGAAATTAACACAGGTCCCAACGCACAAACGTCCCCAATGGCGATACGCGCGTCAACCTGGCCAATAATGCCCATACTACCCCCATTAGCCGCAACGCACACATCATACACAGGCCGAACACGCGACGCAGGAATATTCAACAACTGGAAAATTACATCAGAAATAATCGGAGCCGAGGCGCCTTTGCCAACCAGAACATGAACCTCAACACCCTGAATAGTGGCAGCGACCGTCGACGATCCCACCGCTGCAGCAACAACTCTACGAGCCAATTTCCTCCACTGAGTCTGTGACGCCGGCCAACCATTGGGCGTGTATGCTGCAGTGACCCGTCCCGATGTGATGAACCCGTCCCGGTGACATGGGATGAGTGAGATGGTGAACATGCCCGGGTGCCCGATGTGTGCCAACTCGCCTGTGTGTAGGGACGTGAAGTCAGACAGTCGGTAGCCGGGGACGCAGGTGGCAATGTAAATGACGACGTACGACGAACACGGCACTCCCTGGAGTAATGGCCCACCCGGCGCAGTCAGAAGACACTTTGACGACGCTGTCCATCCTTCCGACGCTGATTCCATGAAATAACAGCTCCCGCGATGTCGGCCGCCGACGGCGCTTCCTCAGGAATGACCACCACCTTCGAGGGACTCCAGCCGACTGGTTGACCATCTTTAGCTGGGTCCCCCATCCACACCGCCATCTGTACCCAGCGCTTTAAATTATCATGCGCATTGAGGCAACGGGCAGCCCACAAGGAAATCTTAACCTCGTAGCCGCACGTGGAAAGGACGACATCCATATCCCTGGCCAACACCAGCATTCGTTCCATC